TCTTTGCCTCCAGAGCCTCCAGAAGTTATTCGCATCTCGTAATTACAAGTCGGTGCATTGTTTATTTTTTGGGGCGATCTTAAATTCTTTTGCATCCTTTTCTGTTTAAGAAGCCATAAATAGATCTTTTATTAGGGTCTATGTAGGCAAAGCATTATATTAAACAAAGCTGCGCTAAAAATATCTTCCTCATTCCATTCTATTTTTACAATTAAAATTTCCTACCATATGTTTGCTTGCTCCTCAGGAAAGAAAAGCCTTTTATCACTTGACAGCTTCATCAAGAGCATTTGTTAAGCTGCATTTGCATCTTCGGCTCGTTTAGGCTGATGCCTACAGTCTCCATCATAAGTTCATGGTGACGATAACTGGGATTGCCGACTACTGTCGGGGACTACCTGTGTTGAATTCCATATTTTGCCTGATGTACGGCCTAAACACCTATTGTCCTAGTGCCTTGTTTTTTTTCATTGCAGAGCGTTACATCTGGCTAAAACTCTTGCTAGTTTAACAGCATACCTAATTCCTTGGCCTTGCTTTCATGTCTGTAGATGATGTTTTTGGAGTCTACATTAATTTTGATGTATGTTTATACTTTTGTTTCACTAGAAGCTCGTTTTTGATCTTTCTATCCAGAACACTGCTAATCTCATCGGTAATAACGATACTACAAGCACTTCCCTCGGATCTCATATATACATAATTCCTGGAGTCCATTGATCCCGAGACTCAAACTCATTTCATTTTCATAAAATATTTGTTTTAAAGAATCTATAAATATTGAAATTGAACCCCTCGTGCTCCTTTTTAATATAACTCCATACCTTTAAAACGTAGTTTAATATATACCTCAAGGTCTATTGCTTATCAAACTGCTACCTTGTGCCTTCTTACCCTTAAGCCAGCCTTCCTACTGTACATAAATTTCACATTTTATATCAGTGTACGCCAAGCCACAACGGTAAAATCGAAGATATGAAGACCAGGATGGTGTGGCCTTTTGTATGCTCCTGGTCTACACAACGGTAAAGTTGGAACCAGCCATTTCTAAATGTAATGACACAAAATGAGCACTCGGATGGTTACGAATACTTTCAGTAGGAGCCTCCATTTAGCCAAGGAATGTTTCTGGCCTTGCTCCTCCATTAGCTCTCTTCTTTTATTCAGGAATTGGCCTATGCCATTGCTGACAATAGACTCTGTGCTCTTTTTATCATTTGACACACCTTCAAATGTATTATGATAAAAATCGAATACTATTCTCAAAGTTGCCTAATCTTGCTTACTTATATCCTCAAATTCTTGTCCTTTTCTTCTACAATTCATCAATATGAATTGAACATTTTGGGATAGGAGTCTTAGCCCAACATATTTTGTCTGCATATTATATATTTCACATATTTTTAATCTCTGTCTTCTTCCCCATAGGTCTGTTCGCTGTTCTTACATGCATGAACTGCTTGTCCAGGTTTTTATTTAATGCACTTTTCTACCCTTCTTCTTAGCTTTCTTACATTACATCTATTAAGCTTTTTACAATGTATTTCTTTTTTCTTTGGGTCGCACCATCATCTCATCGGTTTGGACCTCAGTGATTACGCTTCGAGTAACCCCAGGCAATCTTTTCTCTTCATGCTGACCAATTTCTATCTCTTAAGAGATGTTAATTTAAGGTAGTTAGACCAAGTAATCTCTGAGAAAGTGACTTGAAATCTCGGGGGGTGGGTTTGGATTTATTATGACTTATGCTACCGACGTTTTCTCCTAACCTTATTCTGGAATTGTAGGTACTTGATTGTTTGTCCCAAAAAAATGTTAACTGAAATTACATCCTCTTGACTTGTAACGCGCCACTCATGCCTATATTCTCCTAGGCATACAAGGAGATGTTTCATTTTTGACTTTGTTTCTTTTTTATTTATTTTCAGTTGGCTACGTAATATATCGGTCATCCTCTTCTTGAACAAGCAGGACCTTCTGGCTGAAAAGGTGTTGGCTGGCAAAAGCATGATCGAGGATTACTTTCCCGATTATGCCAGATACAATCCTCCAACAGACAGTAAGTTTTGTAGATTAGTATGTTATTATATCCTATAACATGAATTTTTTTCCAATACTTCCTAGAAGTTTCCAGATATGAAGACCCATCATAATTAGGATTGGCTATTTCAAAGCACTGAAGTTTTCTATCCTTGTGTTATGCTCAAATTGCTTACATATATATTATTACAATGAGTTGACTGAATAAAGTTAAAATTATCTATCTCCCTTTTGATGAGTGCTACCGTGTGGTCTGTCTTGCGACCTATAGGAAATATAGGAGAGTGAAGAATATAGTTGTTGAAAGATCAGGTGTGCGAATCCGGTTGTTTGTAATACTGATGAAGTTTGTATAGATGTTTGTGATGAAGTTGGATGAACAGGATGATAGTGAGAAAAACACTGGAACAGTATAACCAAGAAAATTTGCCGGAGTGGTGTAGCCAACGTGAGACTACGAATAATTTAGACTGCGGAAACCCAACGAATTA